TCAATTTAATGGAAGATCAAGCTTTTATATTCGTTTGTCTATCTACCTTATCCTTTCTCGACTTTAAGAATAGATAAGAGATTTATCTCTATGATGGTCAGTCAAGAAATACTAAAATAAGAATATAAAAGTAACTTATAATGATAACCAAGAATTATTCCAAAAACCTTTAATACTCAATAATCAATCTGTAATGCCCCCTATCCTAGACAAACCAGATTGCAAAAATTAGAACTTCCAGGTGCCACCGACGGTCACCACCCACAAAACCGTAGGTTGACCCACGAACTGTAAGTGGGGTACATGGATGGCCACCTACAACCCTCCACAGAAAAGACCAGAAAACTATTCTACATCCAGACCTACGCGAGGACCTACGGACAGTAGGTCAGACCACGGTCCGTGGTCCTGGACCGTAGGCGAACCCCAGATTTCTAGTCCTAGAGCCCCATCGATAGTTGACCAGGATGTACCGTGGGTCAGTCCATGGACCGTCGTTCAATTTCTTCAGTGGCCCGGACAGCTTATAAGTCAGGGATCGTTTGGTCTTTTCCCTATGTGTTGGACCCTAAACTACGTCGTTTAACCCCTAAACTACGTAATTTTGGTCAATTTTAGCCATAAACTAAATTAGAACATAACCTAATCAATCATTCACAAAAAAAAAATCATTTATCTTAGAGCAAAACAACAAGAAAAAGTCGAGCATCCCTAGTCCAAGAACGTAACAAGGTTTCATCAGTTCCAGCCTCGAAATCGAAAGATTTCTCCATGAATTTCATCACCAGGTATGTGGGATTTCACTAGTGGGTTGCTTTCACCCATTTGGTCCCTAGAATTAAGTCAGATTCTTGATTCCCTCCATACTATCTAGACCTATGGTTCCTAGAATTTCAGCAAATTACTATGATTTAGTAATTGTAACATTCCTAATCAGATTATCATGATTTTAGTATGGTTTTGCGTATATTCTTGCATAAACTCAGAAACCCTAGTTTTGTAGTTCTTTTAGTTCGTGATTACATTAGCTAGGATAGATAAACAGATATACATGCCACAGATTTTGAATACTTCATTATTAGAACTAAATGTTGCATTTTCATAATTGCATGTGAAATTATTGAGCTATCCCATTTACTTCAGAAATGTTATAATTTTCACATATTCAATTGGGAGTAGGCTTTATACCGAGTTGGACTAGGGTCAGATACCCTTAAGTCTCAGAATTACGTGCCTCTGTAGGTTATAAGTCCCCTCTGTGGGCATCAGTTTAGTGATCACGCTAGTCATGCCTCTATATCTCTGTTAGGGTATATTAGGTCCTCTCGATGGGGCTTATACATCAGACTCCACATTTAGCTCACATTGTTTTATGTCGGTTATTATTATCTCCCACAGTCAGATTCTAGTGCATTGACTAGGTTACCAATCATAGTTCAGCATTCAGATTCAACATGTGGCACCCTTCACGCTATGAACAAGACTCTACTAGACGTGGCTTGTGAGACATCAATCCTAAAAACCATCCCAACATCTTGTGCTCTAATACCATGTTTGTTACGACTCGAGCTTACACCCCGGATGCAACATAGCTTACAAGAGTCTGAAGGGTCTCATGTAAGCCTCATAGCATTCGTAACATAAGACATATGAAAAATGGTACGAAATTTATAATCTTTTAAATCCATTCAATCGAAAACTTTATTTAAAACAGCGGAAGTCTACTTGTCTTACATGGCTATCTAATACATTTGGATCAAAACTTGGGTCACGACCCTTACAATAGAAAGTCTAGAAAGTATCGAATACAATGAAAGACATGAAACAACTATATAGCACTTGTCCTCGAATCCATGAGGACATACCACAAGCTTTGGAGAGAATCGATCCAAGCTTTGAACTAGAAGGAATCACCTCAAATGTTGGAACCTACACTTTGTAGTAAAATAAAAGAAATATGGGTTAGCACACAAAAATGTACTAAGTATGATAGCCGTGCAAAAATCATGCTTTAAAAAGGACATTTTGGTTGAAAACCATGCATTATGCCAATTTTGAGAAACATCATGAAGCAATTATGTATAAGAGGCATAAGATACAAACATGATCAACATATAAGCCATTACAACACACTAGTACCTTCACCTTAAGTAACCCTAAGCTATACTTGTGCAATATAAGAATAGCATCCCATACTGCTATTCCTACTAAGTACCACTTTGAGGCCACCATAGATGAACTTATCATTATTCATACTCATCTTTAGTCAATACTCATGCATAAGGAACATTCACATTTAGTAAGTCATAACAAAGAAAGTAACTCATGATAACATTTCCAAGTAAATCATACATCATTACATTAAGCCTTTAAGTCAATATTCTCATTAGTTTCATTAGAAGAACATTCATTTCATTAGGCATTATGACATTAGAGAAACACACCATAGCCACTCTCAAAGACTACTTGTGCAATGCATGGACGGCATCCCATACTACCACCCATACTTCATAGGACTTCTTGAGTAACCATAGTACCTAACTCATATCCTTAATCATACAACATTATAACATAAAGAAACACACCATGACTACTCTCAAAGCCTACTTGTGCAATGCATGGATGAAGTCTAATACCCCCACCCACACTAAGTAGTGCATTCTTGAGAAGCCATAGTTCATTATCATTATTTGTGGCAGTAAGCCTTAACCAACATAGACCAAGTGAGCAAATCATGGAATCCCGATGTTACCCATACCGATAAAGGATTCCTAATTGCCTAAGGTAGGACCATTAACATTTAGCTTAGGTGGATCCACTAGCTATAAACCTATGTGGAAAAATAGTTATGGGATAAGGAGATTGCTACTAGATATCCCACTTCAACTCTCGTATGGGTATCCATCTCAAGAGATTGTTACTAGATACCCCACCTCAACTCACAGATGAGTATCCATCTCAATCAATATCCACTCGGTGCTTAGCATTATTCCCCATGGAGTACTTTACATTTATTACTTTATTTCATTATTATTGGATAAGAGATTGCTACTAGATACCCCGCCTCAACTCATGGATGAGTATCCTTCTCAAACCCCAACATTCATTCATTAATATAGCTCAGAAATTCAAAGATGAGAATAGCGTTTCAACTAAGAATCCTCATATTGTGAGAAATTCCTTTCACAACATGTCATTATCATTTATTAGTGTACAATTGATAATAGCCTTTAATCAACACATCATCATTAACATAATCATAGAAACTTCATTCATTCTTTATTCATAAGTGTATGCGCATAGTGAAAACAACCTTTCAACCATACCACCATTGCATTATAGTAATAACCATATTGAAATCACGATACCTATACATAAGCATCATAATTCTGCGTCAACCTTCATAAATTGCCCTTTAAGGCCATGAATCAATCTCAACCCAAACATCTAGAATTATATATTAGATAAGGGGAATATCATATTATACTCAATCTTTCTAAAAAAACTCCTTTACTTTTCTCAAAATAATACAATTTCCTCATGTAAAAATGAAACATTTGGGAAATACTTAGTTCCATTCTTGCTCAAACTCTTTCTCAAACTTCTCTTTACTTTCTCAAAGACTCAGTTTAAAATAAAAAATGATGGCTTTAAAAGATTCTCAAAATTTATAACTCAAAATAGGGTTCATGCAGAAATATAGACATGAACGAATCAACTCAAGGATCTCAATGACAATATAGATAACTCAATACTCAGAACTCAAGTACTTAGAACTCAACGATATCACTCATCTCAAGGATACTCAACTCATCGGGTTCATGCAAAAATATAGACATGAACGAATCAACTCAAGAATCTTAATGCATAACATATAGCAGTTCAATAATTAGGAATAGAATTTTCAAAAGAATCTGGAACTCAAGAACTTAAAATCAACTCATCTCAAGAGTACTCAAATCTAGGGATAGAACCCTAGATTACTCTTTTACAAATTTGATAGTAGATGTATGGCGAGAGAAAGAACTAGTCCTACACTATAATAGCCTTACATACCTGAAAGAACAAGGTTCTTGAAGAAGAACTTGATTAGAAGCCTTGAAACCCTAGCTTGAAGGAGAAAAATCAAGAAAACCTTTCTTGAGATTCTTGAAATCTCTATGGTCAAGAATTATGATTTTCATTAGTGAAGCATAATTGTATGAAGGAATTTGATTTGGAAAGAATGAAATTATTGGAGAAGGATTTACCTTGAAGAAGTATCTTGAAAAAGATTGAAAGAATCTTGAATGGAGGTCTTCTACTTAGGGTTTTGCCTTAGGGTTTGAAAGAGAAGAGAATGTTGGATTAAGAGATGCAAATCTTATTGGTTTGGACCTTTAATTAGTCAAGGAATTCGTTTAGAATTTTTTTAGAGGTAAAAAGATAAAATCGACCATTTTTAATATTTTTCCGTCGGCTAATTCGTCACTGCATTGTATCAGGTTACTAAAATGGTCATTAAATTCTACTCGAAACACAGATTGACGCAAAACTGGTGGCGTTGGAGAGATGATTTAAATACTATTAATTTGATAGGTTATGAACCACATAAATCTTTATATGTTAAGAGATATGATCGTTTGAATTCAACCCAAATAGAATCTTACATCAAAACTTAATCGATATGGAAGCTTTGCACTCAACTTTGTGTTAGGGGATTCTAGTGACCTTAACTAATATACAAATTCATTTTCACATAAAATAATTTGACCTTTAAACAGATGGGCAATTTAAGAATCACCCAGTACGATCTTATTCACAAATGAAGAATGGTTAGAGTCTCAACTTATAAATTTTCAGGAAGTTACATCATTTATTATTATTGCTTTAGTATTGAAGTTGAGTTGAGGTGAGTTATCTCTTCCAGTCGTATCAGTTCAATTGTCTATGCTTTCAGTTTCCCCTTACATACTCGTACATTCAATGTACTGACACCATTCGACCTGCATCATTTTATGATGCGGATACAGCTGCTCAGAGTCATCAGCGTGCGCTTTGTTGATACCACTTGCATTCCAGCTAGCTTTGGTGAGACTCATTGCTTTCCAGAGGGCTTCACACTTATTTTCTGCTTTCGTTAAGTTGTCGTCGGTTCTGTCCCGACATCTATCCTAGTATTTAGAGGCTAGTTAGAGTAGAGGAGTCTCTCATTACTTACCATTTTGTTTAGATGTTTTGAAACTATTTTACAGATTAATACTATTTTTGAACTTAAGTATTTTCTGACAGTGAATTGAGAAATTGTTGAGCTTAATCATTTATAATTCTATTTCTAAGATTGTTTTGCTTGAGTAAAGTATTCTTCTAAGTATTCAATCGGGCCAGGGGTTTACTTGGGACCAGCGATGGTTCTCAAGTGTTGGCCACATCCAGAGTGTAGGCTCGGGGTGTGACAAAATTTGGTATCAAAGCACAGAGTTCAAGAGTCCTAGGGTATCCATAAAGTCGTGTATGTAGAGTCTATTTTATCAGTGTGAAGTGCGCCACATCTATAATTAGGAGGCTACAACATTTAGGAAACATTTCACTTTCTTCTAACTTTTGTTCGTGCGATAGAGTTTAACTCTATAAAAGTTTCCTCTAACTCGTGCTTATGCGTGTCTTTTCATATCATACCTCCACAAAGAGCTATTCGAGAACGTCCTTCTAGGAGGAATGTAAACTCTCAAGGTCAAGAGGTTTCCAATGTACCAAAAGTGCAACCCCCTCAGGGAGAAGTCACAAATGATGAGTTCGCGAATGCCATTCAGATGTTAACTCCGGTTGTGAAAAATCAGACTGGTCAACAAAAAGTAGATCGTCAGGATGTGGCTGATATATCCAAAATCCGTGAGTTTCTGAGGATAGATCCCCCAGAATTCTTAAGGTCGGAGGTCACTGAGGATCTGGAGAACTTTGTGGAAGAACTTCAGAAAGAGTTTGAAGTTATGCATGTTGCTGATGCAGAGCGTGTGGAGTTAGCTTCATATAAGCTCAAAGGTGTTGCTAGAATATGGCATGATCAATGGAAGAAGAGACGGGCAGAAGGGGCAACACCTTTGAGTTGGGTTGTGTTTGAAGAGGCTTTCTTAGGGAGTTTCTTTTCCGCGAGCTAAGGGAAGCAGGTAAGAGAATTTTTGAATCTGAAACAGGAGTCTATGAGTGTGCAAGAGTACATCCTCAAGTTCACTCAGCTCTCCATCTATGCTCTGGAGATGGTGGCTAATATGAGGAGCAGGATGAGTTTGTTTGTGTCTGGGTTATCTCGTTTGTCAAGTAAAGAAGGTAAGGCGACTATGTTTATAGGAGACATGGACATAGCTAGGCTCATGATCAATGTGAAATAAGTTGGGGAAGATAAGTTGAAAGACAGGGAAGAGTTCCGCAGTAAGAGGGCTAAGACAACAAATCATGAGTCCAGCCAGTAAACGACCAGAAATGTAAGTCGGTCCTCCTTTCAACAAAGGTCACCTAGACTTGATCCATCATTAGCTAGTGCGCCTGCATAAAAGAACAAAATGATTTCAAGAGCTAAGACTCCTTGAATTTCAGAGCTCGACCTACTCAATGTATGGGTAGTGTGGCACAAGGGGCTACTTGGACCCCCAAATGTACCAAGTGTGGTAGGAACCACATAGAAGTGTGTCGTGATGGCTCAAATGGCTGCTTCAAGTGAGGTCAGATGGGTCACTTTATGAGAGAATGCCCTAAGAACAAGCAGGGCAATGGGGGCAATAGAGCCCAATCTTCTTAAACATCCTCGGCAGACAGAGCTGCTCTGAGAGAAGCTACTTTGGGGACAGGCGGAGGAGCAAATTGTCTACATGCTATAACTAGTCGCCAATATCAGGAGAACTCACCAAATGTTGTCATTGGTACGCTTAAAGTATTTTCTTTTGATGTTTATGCCTTAATTGATCCTGGTGTGAGTTTATCTTTTATGACTTCTTATGTAGCCATGAGGTTCGACATTTCCCCAAAACAACTTCTTGAGCCTTTCAGTGTCTCCACACCTATTGGTGAGTTTGTTGTAGCAGAGAGAGTCTATCTTGATTTTACCATCTCTGTCAATCACAAGGACACCATTGCTGACTTAGTCGAGCTATACATGGTGGACTTTGATGTTATTCTAGGTATGGACTGACTTAATGCTTGTTATGCCTCAGTCAATTGTAGAACTCGAGAAGTCAAATTTCAGTTTCCTAATTAGCTATTTTTAGAGTGGAGGAGTGGAGGAGTGGTTCAGCAGTGCCTAGGAGTCGTTTCATTTCATACCTTAATTCCAGAAAGTTAGTCTATAGGGGGTGCATCTATCACTTTGTCCGAGTTAATGACTCTAGTGTTGAGACACCGCTTATTCAATCAGCTCCAGTTGTGAGTAAGTTTCCAGAGGTCCTTCCAGATGATCTATTTGGAGTCCTCCTTAGAATAAATAGACTTTAGCATAGACATTCTTCATAATACTCAACCTATCTTTATTCCGCCATATAGAATAGCTCCAGCTGAGTTACAAGAGTTAAAAGAGTAGTTGAGAGATCTTCTTGATAAGGGTTTCATCTGACCTAGTGTCTCACCTTGGGGCACTTTGGTCTTGTTCGTGAGGAAGAAGGATAGTTCCCTTAGAATGTGTATCGAATACCGCCAATTGAACAAGGTCAACATAAAGAATAAGTATCCACGTTCAAGAATTGATGACCTTTTCGACCAACTTCAGGGTGCCAGTTTCTTCTCTAGGATAGACCTCAGATCTGGTTATCATCAGTTGAGAGTAAGAGAAAGTGACATCCTAAAAACAACATTCAGGACCCGTTATGGTCACTATGAGTTCCTTGTGATGTCTGTTGTCTTGACCAATGCTCCTACAACATTCATGGACCATATGAACATTCATGGACCTTATGAACAGAGTATTTAAGTCGTATCTTGACATGTTTGTTATCGTATATATTGATGACATACTGATTATTCGAGAAATGAGGAGGATCATGCTAGTCATATTAGAATAGTCCTCCAGACTCCCAAAGATGAAGAATTATATGCCAGATTATCTAAGTGTAAGTTTTGTCTTGAATATGTGGCATTGTTAGGCCACATTGTATCTAGCGAATGTATTCGAGTTGACACTCAAAAGATTAAAGCAGTACAGAACTGGCCCAGACCCACATCTCCAACTAATATAAGGAGTTTCTTAGGGTTGGTTAGTTACCACAAGGTTCGTCGAGGGATTTTCATCCATTCCATCCCCGTTGACTAAGCTGACTCAGAAAATGGCTAAGTTTCAATGGTCTGAAGCTTGTGAGAAAAGCTTTCAGAAATTGAAAACTCAGTTTACTAATGCTCTAGTGTTGACCCTACCAGAGGATACAAAAGGCTTTGTTGTTTATTTTGATGCGTCCAGAGTTGGACTTGGTTGTGTATTAATGCAAAATGGTAAGGTTATAGCCTATGCCTCCAAACAACTTAAGGCTCACGATAAGAACTACCCAACTTATGACCTCGAGTTGGCAGCAATAGTTTTTTCTCTCAAAATATGGTGTTACTATCTCTATGGCGTTCACGTTGATGTGTTCACCGACCATAAGAGTCTCCAGTATGTTTTCAGTCAGAAGGATCCTAATCTCAGACAAAGGAGGTGGTTGGAGTTTCTCAAGGATTATGACATGAGTATCCTATATAACCTAGGTAAAGCTAATGTAGTTGTTGATGCTTTGAGTAGGTTATCCATGGGAAGTACTGCTCATGTTGAGGAAGGCAAGAAAGAATTAGCTAAGGAGGTGCACAGACTTGCCCATTTGGGAGTCCATTTGTTAGATTCCAGTGAAAGTGGAGTTGTGGTGATGAATGGGGTTGAATCATCACTAGTGTCGGAAGTGAAGGAGAAACAAGATAAGGACCCTCTTTTACTTGAACTAAAGGCAAATGTTTATAATCATAAGGTGATGTCTTTTGAACAAGGGGATATGGCTTATTTAGATATCAAGGTAGATTATGTGTACCCAAGGTGGATGAACTCCAAGAGATGATCATGGCATAGGCTCATAGTTCTAGATACTCGATTCATCCCGGTTCCACAAAAATGTATCATGACTTGAGGGAAGTCTATTGGTGGAGTAGTATAAAGAGGTGCATTGCAGAGTTCGTTACTAAGTGCCCAGATTACCAACAAGTCAAAGTAGAACACCAAAGGCATGGTGGTGTGTTTCAGAACATAGCTCTTCTAGAATGGAAGTGGAAAATGATTAATATGGATTTCATTACTGGCTTGCCACGATCTCGAAGGCAGCATGATTTGATTTGGGTGATTTTAGATCGGATGACTAAATCAGCCCATTTATTGCCGCTAAAGACTACAAATTCAGTAGAAGATAATGTCAAATTATACATTCAAGAGATAGTCTGACTTCATGGAGTTCCTATGTCCATAATTTGAGATAGGGGTGCACAATTCACAGCTCAGTTTTGGAAGTCTTTTCAAAAAGGTTTGGGTTCGAAGGTGAACCTTAGTACTACTTTTCATCCTCGGGAAAATCGCCAATAAGAGTGCACAATCAGACCCTAGAGGACATGTTAAGGGCATGTGTCATGGATCTCAAAGGTAATTGGGATGACCATTTGCCTCTCATAGAATTCTCTTACAATAATAATTGTCACTCCAATATTCAAATGACTCCTTATAAGGCTCTTTATGGGTGAAGATTTAGATCTCCAATTCGTTGGTTTGAAGTTGGTGAAGTTGAGTTGATGGGGCCAAACTTGGTTCATCAATCCATGGAGGAAGTGAAGATTATTCAGGAAAGGTTGAAAATAGCACAAAGTCGTCAAAAATCATGTACCGATGTTAGTAAGAGAGACTTAGAATTCGAGGTTGATGATTGCGTCTACTTGAAGGTTTCACTAATGAAGGGTGCTATGAGATTCGGTAAGAAGGGTTAACTCAGTCCTTGGTACATTGGTCCTTAGAGGATATCCAAGAGAGTTGGAAACGTAGCTTATGAGTTGGAGCTACCATCAAAATTAGCAGCAATCTACCCGGTATTTCACATATCTATTCTAAAGAAGTGTTTGGGCAATCCTTCACTTATTGTGCCTACCGAGAATATTGGTATCAAGGACGGTCTATCTTATGAGGAGATGCCCATTCAGATTCTTGATCGTCAGGTTCGCAAGTTGAGAACCAAAGAAGTTGCATCAATCAAAGTTTTATGAAGGAATCAATTTGTTGAGGAAGCTACTTGGGAGGCTGGTGAGGATATGAAGAAAAGGTACCCTCACCACTTTCCTTCTGAATCAATTCTAGACCAAGGTACTAACTCTTTGTAAAGTACTCTTTAAGTTGATATGTTAAATTTGTGTTATTTGCATGTTTTGTGCTAGAGTGGGTGGTTAGATATTTCCCTCCCTTATTTTTCTTGGTTTGATCTCATTCAAGGACGAATGTTCCCAAGGGGGAGATATTGTAACACCTCGGTTTTTGAAAAAAACTAAAGAAATGTTCGTACAAGTCACCTATCAGTTTTTAGTTTTGGGTCAACTTCAAACAATCATATCTTTTAGAGCATAAAGACTTAGGTTGCCCATGACCTATCAAATTGAAGGTATTTGAGTCCTTTTTCCAACGCCACCAAGTTTGCTTAATTTTGAGCTTGGATTAAAAGGTTATGACAATTTGAGTGAAGCCTCTCTATTTAAGGCATCTCATACGTTGCTAGAAGGGTATTTTGGTGTTTTCCTTTTTCTTATAAATCTAGCCACGTTTTTCCTCATCCAATTAAGGGTCTAAATAGACACTAAGTTACTTTTCACGTTCCTAAACAGTTAGAAAAAATAAGAGAAGAGCTCAAGCGGAGAAAGAGCTAGGTTTCGAGCGTTCGTCAATATCCCGTCGATTTTTGCCAAGAACGTTGTTCTTTCCAGGTATGTAAGGCTTCTCGCAGTGTTGGACTTGTTCGTCCTCACGCCATACATCTAGTTTATCCACGAAATTGTTGTATTTAAAGGTTTCTTGAGTGGTTCTTGATAATTGTTCAATTCCTTAACAATGGATGTTGCGAATTCTTGTGTGTTGTGGATCTTGAGTAAAATTTGAGTTTCCCAAAGGGATTATGTTGAATTCCTCATGTATTTGTGTAGGGGTTGATAATCGAAAAGAGTTTAGGAGAATTTCCCCCATTCTAAACGAGTTAGGACCCTAAATTGAGTATAAAAGTTTGTCATATTTATGGGTATTGGGTGGGGAGGCGTGCCACCAAGGCGCCACGAATTTTGCCTAGTAGTTTAGGGCCTAGCGCCCACGCCAGCAGTGCGCCCCAAACTTTGGTCAGTAGTTTGGGGCCTCTAGCCCCATGCCAGCAATGCGCCAAGGTTATCTGGTCTTTTTTCTTTTCGTGCTTCATTACAGACTTGTTCCTTTGAATTGTGACTACGTTCCCTTCTTCGTATTATCTCTTAAAGGATCCATTCATCCTTGAGATATCCTACATGTCCTAATCACATGTCTTAATTTACATTCCAAACTAAAGTGAGTTTAAGAAGAAAGTTCAAGAGGTCTTTTTGAATCATTTTGAGGATTTTTTTGTAATCAACAATGGTTTTAAACTAATTTTTGAGAAAGTAAATATGAGTAATGAGAAGAGTTGTATTCATGATTGAAAAAGAGTATAAGGTAACTAAGTATTCCCAAATGTAACACTTTTACATTAAAAGAGAGAAACTTTGATTTCTAAATGAGTTTATATGAGTTTAGAGATATTTCAGAGTATTACCTCTTTTAAGAGGATCTATTGAGTAATTACCTCAAATTGAGAAAGAATATTTTTTTATACATTTGAGCACGAGTTTAAATATTATTGTAAGTAGTATTCAGCATCGATATGGGGATGAGTTCAGACAACTCACATTCCCCATAAACCATGTAGCCTACATGGATAAAGGGTCGTAATTTTTAAATGAATCCTTATTGCTTTTAAGCATAGCTTAATGGATCCACTTAGTTAAGGTGTTCAATACCCTGGCAAGGCATAGGACAGTTCTGACAACGTGGGCTAGATGTTGTATCATCACATAGCTCATAGTGATGGTTGTCAGATAGAGAATCTCCCAAGTAAGAGTAAAGAATAACTTATAGTATTTTTATGCATCTTGAGTTAATATTTTTGTTTTATAAAGCTTTGAATAATGCATCTCTTATTATTGCTTTTGTATTAGAGTTTAGTTGAGGTGAGTATGTCTTTCAGTCTTATCAGTTCAATTATTTATGCTTTCAGTTTCCCCCTTACATGCTCGTACATTCAATGTATTGACGTCATTCAACCTACATCTTTTTATGATGCAGATACAGGTGCCCAGGGTCATCAACAGGCGCTTTGTTGATACCTCTAGCATTCTATCTAGCTTTGGTGAGCTTCCTTACTTTCTAGAGGGCTTCACACTTATTTTCTGCTTTTGTTAAGTTATCGTGGGTTTTGTCCCGACATTTATTTTAGAGGCTTCATAGATAGTTAGAGTTGAGGAGTCTCACATTACTTTCCATTTTGTTGAGATGTTTTGAAATTGTTTTACAGAATATTACTATTTCTGAACTCAAGTATTTTCACACAGGTTAATAGAGAAATTGTTGAGGTTAAGTGTTTATAATTTTGTTTCTATGATCGTTGTTATATACATGCACGAAAGATGGATTACAAGTAGTAGTATCTAGATATTGTCAGAGCAATGATCACAGCTTGGATATCAAGACCGGGGATTTCAACTTCTTTACTTTACGGTTGTCTGAATGAAACCTGAGTTTGTACAAAATTGCTTAAAGTTTTGCCTTTTTATGTATTTTGTAAATTTTAAGAGTTCAACTGTTATCTTTCTTTACCAAGAGTAACGACGACTTCCATGCACATTATCTTTCTTTACCTTCTGTATAAAACATCAAATATGATATATTTAATTAGATAAGATATTTTATTTATTATATTTTTAATTTAGTGCAAGAAAAAAATAGTAATCCAATTTTGAAGATAAAATCTTCCTATTCCAACTTTTAATAATATATGATAATTTGTGCAATGAAAGTCTTACAAATTAATATATTATCTAAAAAAATAATCATGAAATGCAGGGCAAAAAATAATTCACTTAGGAAATTCTTATTTTAAAGTTATATGATGCTTATATATATAGTATTATTTCGTTCATAAATGTATAATAATAATGTTTAATAGAATATGATAGTATTTATTTGGATTATAGTATATTTACGTTTTTGTCGGTAAATGTTATGACTTTATAAGGAAATTTTAGTAATTCAACGTTTAACTTTTTTGCTTCCCACTTTTAATATAATGTTGATTAAAATATTATAAATACCCTGCCAAAAGAGCAATAGCCCCACGCAGAATAGTGTTCCTCCATTTTCAAATAATAGTCTCTAGAAACGTGTGTTACACGTTTGTCCCAAACAATAATGTAATCATCACATCTTCCACATAATCAATAAATTTTAAAAATTTAAAAATTGATATGATACAACATAAAAAAATTGTTGTAAAGAAAAAAGAGATTCTTACCAAACAATTAATGAATCATCGAACCTCTCACATATATCATAGTTATATTTTATCATGTGATTATGATGCCATGAAATTTAAGAGAGAATAAAAATGAAAAACATAAATACAGTTAAATGTGATCATACATGGATGAAAAGAGAATCAAATAAAATAAGAAACTTTGATGAAATCAACAATTGAACACTACTATTTCTTATGATTCATGTCATATTGTCACTTGTCTTAATTTATAGTTTGCAATGCCAACTTTTTTCTTAATTCAATATGAGAAAATGAAAACATAAGAGTTTAAAATTTAATTTTAGAAATGAAGGGTTTTTGAAACCATGATCTATTCATTATCATCTTTCTTAATGTCTTTCTCATTTAATTAAATTTAAAAGTTGATTCAACTTTTGGCTTAACACCTTCCCATTTTTAGTATTTAGTATAATATATATGGTATTATTTAATATTTAATTAATTAGATATTTTATTTAGAATAGGCCAAAATGGAAATCAAACTTTGAAGTTAGGAGCTTCCCACTTTTAATTAATTTTGACATTTTTAAGAGCTTTCCACCACTTTAAAACAGTATGTTTCACTTGAATACCTACTATCCTGTTAAAACAATCTCACTTAAAGGAACAGTAAAACATGCACAATTTGATCAATAGATGAATTCTAATTTACTAACACAACAATAACTAGAATTTTAGCCCTTCATAACCTCCTACCCCAACAATGTTTAAATCTCACAAACCAAATAGTTGATCCCTCTCCTGCTATATTTGGTGCATCGATTCCTCCACAAACTTCAAACTGAATCATCACTAGGTTTTAGAGTAATATCTTCAAGCCAAAAATAAGACTCTTTTCTCACCCATTCGAATATTACGCTTGTTACTTTCAACAAGCCGGTAAACATGAAGAGTGGAGACAAGCGATCAAAGTACAGAATGATGCTTTGACAAAAACTCAAACTTGGCAACACATATCATGAGCCACATCGAAAAGTGTTATAAACTGAAAATGGTTGTATAGGATAAAGAGAAAAACATATGATTCTATAGACTGTTTCAAAACTCATCTAGTTGCAAAAAAGCTCACGCAATACCCCGACTTAGATTTTCATGAGACATTCAATCATGTTGTCAAATTGACAACTATAAAATTGGTGTTATCTATAGTTGTGCAATACAATTGGCAAATCCAACAATTTGATGTCAATATATATCTTGCTCATCCATCGAGGCAGAGCACAAATAAGCCGTCAATGCACTTGGAAAGCTCACTTGAATGTGAAACTTACTTCATGACTACCAAAAAAAGGGCTTTTACCCACAGTTATTTGGCCACGGTTTGACAAACCGTGGTAAAATCATCAAAATAAATGAAAATTCTTTACGGGTAAAGAGTTGTAGCTAAAATATCATGGAAAAATCAGGCGCGACTTAAAATTTCACTCCCTTCCTTTTGTTTTTTCATCTCCCCAATATTTATTTTTTTACATAATCTTTCTTAACCATTTCCACCAAAAAAAATTAACCAAAATGGTGAAGAAAGAAATCAGCACTCAAATCTCTCAACAATGCTGGAGTATTTCTTCACCGTTCTAAAATTCTACTGCATCAAATAGTAGCAAAAAGTAGTAAAATTATTTTCAG